GAGATCTGTATCCTCTTCTCCCCTCGTTGTTACCTTTGTGTAGTTCACTTCATGTTTGACAAAGGCTTCCCGGCCGAAACGTTGCGCTTTTTGTGTTGTTTGGTACACTTTTTTTTTCTGCTTTCACATTCGGTTAAGCTTTATAGTCAAATTTCACTGGAATTTTTCGTAATGCCGGGGTGCCGGATTCGATCCCAGCTGCGGGCCTTGCGCCTTACATTAGTTTCGACAGTGGTATCAAGAAGCCGACCGTTCTGAAAGCAGTGGTTAACTACTGGACGTAAATTTGCCAAGAAAACCCACAACAGCCAAATAATGCTGGGGTTGGTTCTGCAACGTCCTGTAAAGGATATGCAACTAACTTTATCATTTCTAATTTATGTGGTCTGATCACCCCTGCAGCCTTTTTCAGACATCTCATTGAACTAATTTTCTCTTATGAATTGCTGTTAATGGCAGTGTCAGGTACTGGTATCATTGAATGGGGATAAATATTCTTACCGTGAGGGAAATATATAGAATGATTCTTGTATAAATAACCCGCACGAGTGCCCCATTCACTAGTCAGAGATTAGTTTCAAGTGAGACAGCTTAATGTCTTCTAACATCATCATCATCATGAACTTCTTCTTCTTCCTTCTTATTCCTCTTTCTTCTTCTTCTTCTTCTTCTTCTTCTTCTTCTTCTTCTTCTTCTTCTTCTTCTTCTTCTTCTTCTTCTTCTTCTTCTTCTTCTTCTTCTTCTTCTTCTTCTTCTTCTTCTTCTTCTTCTTCTTCCTTCTTCTATTTCTACTTCTTCTACCTTCATCATCCTTCTTCTCCTTCTTTCTTCTTCTTCTTTTTCTGCTTTTTTCTTCTTCTTCTACTTCTTCCTTCTTCTTCTTGGTCTTCTGCCTCCTCCTCTTCCTTCTCCTCATAAATTTAAATCAGCGAATTATTGAGGGAGCTGAGGAATGTAAATGATTATGTTAAATTGAGTCTATTTAATAACGTGTTCTTGATGCCACCATTATATCTATTGCTCAGTTTGCCCCATACGCTCTGCTATTTACATTTGTTCGATGTAAAGACACTTGAAAACAAACTGATCTTTGCATCGTTATCCTTTTGTATGGCCACTTGAGAAGACTATTTCGAACCCGAATGGGTTCTTGATGTTGTAATATAAACAAACAACGTATTTTCCCCCCTCCAGTTTCTAAGCATTCACAAGAAAGGCACAGATATCTGCCCTGCACCGGGAAAGTATTCTGGTCTGGTGTGGTCTGCACAAAGGAAATAACAACAGCCAGACATGCATGTGTTGATTATATGGCTGTGACCTGCAGTGACTTGTTGCTTTTATTCTTGGAGTGTTCTGTTATTTATTTCATCTAGAATATCGTCGACAGTCAACATCAAAGGCTAAAAATGTCAACTAATGCCCAAAGAAGTAGATATGTCCAACTGTTTCTGACATGTAGCCAGTTTGTGGGTTGAATATTTCCAACTGTTTCTGATGTATAGCCAGTTCATGGGTCAGTATGTCAAAACATTTCTTATGTGTAGGCAGTTTAATGTATTAATATTTACAACTATTTTTGATGTGTGGCCAGTTTATGGTGTCAGTATTTCCAACCGTTTCTGATGTGAAGACATTTTATGGGGGAGATATTTTCAATTCTTTCTAATGCTAAGCCAGTTTATGAGGTGAGTATTTCTAACTGTTTCTGATGTGTGGCCAGTTTATGGGGTCGATAATTCAAACAGTTTTTGACGTGTGGTTAGTTTATCGAGTACTTATTGTCAGCTGTCGGGTAACTATTTCCAACCGTATTTGATATGTGGCCAGTTTATGGTGTCGATATTTCCAACTGTTTCTGATATGTGGTGACTTGTGCCGTCGATATGTTTCTGATGTGTAGCAAGTTTGTAGAATGTGCATCTCGCGCTGTTTAAGATGTATGGTCAGTCGATGGGGGTCGATATTTCCAACGGTTTCTGATATTTGGGCAATTTGCGGTCCAAAAGTTCATGTTTTATGGCTTGTGCGAAGAAGGTACTAAATACAACACAGTGACTAGGAAGCTTTGAGTTTGTGTGTGTGGTGGGAATGGTGGGGGGGGGGGGGGGGAGGGGGGGGGGGGGGGGGGAAAAAAAAAAAAAAAAAAAAAAAAAAAAAAAAAAAAAAAAAAAAAAAAAAAAAAAAAAAAAAAAACAAAAAAAAAAAAAAAAAAAAAAAAAAAAAAAAAAAAAAAAAAAAAAAAAAAAAAAAAAAAAAAAAAAAAAAAAAAAAAAAAAAAAAAAAAAAAAAAAAAAAAAAAAAAAAAAAAAAAAAAAAAAAAAAAAAAACAAAAAAAAAAAAAAAAAACAAAAAAAACAAAAAAAAAAAAAAAAAAAAAAAAAAAAAAAAAAAAACAAAAAAAAAAAAAACACAAAAAAAAAAAAAAAAAAAAAAAAAAAAAAAAAAACAAAAAAAAAAAAAAAAAAAAAATAAAAAAAAAAAAAAAAAAAAAAAAAAAAAAAAAAAAAAAAAAAAAAAAAAAAAAAAAAAAAAAAAAAAAAAAAAAAAAAAAAAAAAAAAAAAAAAAAAAAAAAAAAAAAAAAAAAAAAAAAAAAAAAAAAAAAAAAAAAAAAAAAAAAAAAAAAAAAAAAAAAAAAAAAAAAAAAAAAAAAAAAAAAAAAAAAAAAAAAAACAAAAAAAAAAAAAAAAAAAAAAAAAAAAAAAAAAAAAAAAAAAAAAAAAAAAAAAAAAAAAAAAAAAAAAAAAAAAAAAAAAAAAAAAAAAAAAAAAAAAAAAAAAAAAAAAAAAAAAAAAAAAAAAAAAAAAAAAAAAAAAAAAAAAAAAAAAAAAAAAAAAAAAAAAAAAAAAAAAAAAAAAAAAAAAATTTTGTTTGATTAAAAAAAAAAAAAAAAAAAAAAAAAAAAAAAAAAAAGTGAAAAAACGCACACAAACAAAGGCAACTGAACTGTTCGAATAGTTGTTATCAAGTTGTGTGCTGTCCTTATCAGTTTGTTGATTATTGTGTTGAATATAGAACTTCTTGTCGCAGTCAGCCCGATTACGTCATCACTTCAGCGTGGTGAGAGTTGAATAAAGGCCGATAATGTCATGTTTCTTAGATTTTTAGCCGGTGTGTGGGATGTTTTTTTCTTCAAATGTTAGCTGTATCAATCCATCATTAAAAAAGTAAGTAAACGACCCCTTTTCCACGCCTTTAGGCGTATAGGGCAAATAGGGCTAGACCTATATTTTATAGACCAATCGGCACAAGATGGGTGATGTAGTCAGCATTACGCTGGCCGCCTTTTACTTCCCGGGACTACACTCTGTACCCACTCAAGGCTGAGTCGACCTGAGTGAGAGCCTAGGTCATTTTTGAAAAAAGTCCGGCTCCACCAGAGAGTGAACCCACGACCTTCCGATCCGCGGCGAGCGTTTAGCAGCTTTGCCACGGCGACTCCCCAAGTCAGCATAGGATGTTAATATTTCCGAGTGTTTTTAAAGCTTATATTTCAAAAAGTTTTTTTTGTAGTCAGAAGTCAGTGTGGATGTTTGAAGGTGTTTTTAGTGTAAGGCGCGCGTGTGTGTAAGTGGCCGACAACTAAGAGACTGTGACACTTGATTAGGATGTAGGGTTGGCATTTCTAAGTGTGATATGCAAAGTTTTGTATTCATGGTACAGTGAATGTAAACCTGGATGTATCACAATAGATTTGAATTCTCCCTCTTCTTCTTCAGCGATCTCTGGTCATGCGCTTAGTCCACTGTTAGATATAAACTGGGATATCAAAGATTACTTGTCATATCTACTGGGTATGGCCACATGTTACTTCCTCCAGAAAAGAACAATCTTACAAGACATGTTCTGGAGTCTGTTCAACACGAAGACAACGACAGAGAGCTGTTTCACTCATACCTAATTTATATGAGCGTTAATTGAGTCCGTAGAATCCAGTGTGTGAGCGAAAATTTTTCTCTTGGTCTGTTCTGTTCAGATGACTGGGGAAATCATTCAGATGACTGGGGAAATCGTTCAGATGACTGGGGAAATCGTTCAGGTGACTGGGGAATCGTTCAGATGACTGGGGAAATCGTTGAGTTGGGGAAATCGTTTAGGTGACTGGGGAAATCGTTTTAATGTGTTTATTTACCAGTCTGTTTCTTATTCTCTCGTAATGAAGTTTCTAACTTCTGAAAAAGATGGTGATTGATAAATGGTTTTTGAATGTACATCTGCCGGAGAGGCGGGGAACGAGTATTGCAAACAAATAAGTCAGTAAAACGGATGTACACGCAAAACTCAGGTCAAGGTAAAAGCCAAAAGTCCATTTTGGACGAACAACCGTGACTTACCGCCGGAATTCACAGCCGGTGAACAAGAAGAAGAAGAAGAAGAATCTCAACCTGAATTACTGTCCATGTGTCTTTAACCTGTGGGACTGGCTATTGGTGTGGCTTACACAGTCTTGTGTCACAATATCTGACTTTAAGCCTGGCTGCAATATCTTTGTGAATTGTCTCGGAAAGGACCTGTTGTGAGTAGCTGGTTATGGCTCACTTAAGATAACAAATGCTATCAAAGTTAAGTATACCGCCTGCACCTGTGTATAATTCAGGTATATATATATACACACAGACACACGCCTTACACATAGATGCACATATACACACGCATAAACACATAACCACGGAACAGAAACCTAGTCAAGTCTATCTCCACACAAGGAATCTCATGGTCTTATCTAGACCTAGCGATATCAACACCAACGTTTGTTTGCCCAGTTGTAAATGTGTTTGTCCGTATTGTTTCAAGGCCCGTATCTGGTACTATAGTTTGCCATTCCGTCCACCGATAAGACGTTTCATTGTTCTGTGACGTACCCTTGGAGGAAAATCATGACCACAAGAAGTTGAACAGTTAGTGTGGTGTAGTTAGAGGTTGATTGTGGCGTCGTTCTGTCGGCTGCTTCTGTATCAGATTAACGAATTTCAACGTACTTCTTTTGCGAAAAGACTACATGTACAACAGGAAGCTATCTTTGGCCACTTTAGGTAAGCTGTTTTTTTTTTTTTTTTAAATTAAAAGGTTGATGGAATGCGTTTCACAATTTCTTGTAATTAGACCCACTGTCCGAAGTGGAACGGTTTATTTAAGAAAACCGTTCTCGTGTTTTTCGGAGTTTCACAGGAGTTGTACCAAGGAAGAGTTTAGAGCCTTAATCAATCAGTCAGTTGTCCTTTACACAACGTCGCTCTCTTCACGGGGGAAGCCTGTAGGTCTTTCTTTGTCTAGCTAATTCTCCAGCCCCGTGTACTTTCATTGTCAATGCATCCTCGTTTTCCTGTATCCACCTTAACGGCGGTCGGCTTCTGCACCTCACCCCCACCCCTGTACACTCTATTTTCTCTAGGTCAACTTGACGCGGCACATGGCCTAAATACATCCAGCTTTCGTGAGAGGATACTGTTTATGAGCCAATTCTCCTTGATGTTTGGGTCATGCATGGTATAGACATTTTTCTTCTTCTTGGTCCACGGTAGACTTTAAACATTCTGTAACATTTAGGGCATCACCAGATAATATTCACAAAGACGGCAGTTGGAGCCCTGTAACCATCCCTCACTGTGAAGACGGCACATCAAAATAAAGGGTGAATGAAGGTATTTTTTAGGCGGATAGTTATAAGTTGCATGTGGATTCCCAGTCGTTAGAGAATAAGACAGTCCCATTGCAGCTACTTTAGGAGCCGCTGTGCTGTAGCGAATAGACCCTCGCTTGCAGGTCTGGTGGTCGTAGGTTCTGCATCGAGTGGGAGTTTTACCCCGCCTAAAATGAGTACCAGGTAAAGGCCTGGGAAGTAAAGACGGTCGGTGAGACGCTTACCATACAACCCACCAAGTGCTGGTTGGTATATAAATAATACGTCTAGCTCTTTATGCTGGACACTGGGCAACCTGGCATCAGTGAGACGACAGCAGACAGAAAAGTATATGCCCAATACACCTCACGGTGTGAGAAAAGTGTACTTTACTTTTTAATACGGTTACTGTCGTTGAACTGTGACAAGTTTAACAGTGGTTCTGCATCTTCCTAATACCGCCGCCACCCTTTAATATTAAGTTTCTTATGTTCTGGTGACACCCAACCATCAAATCATTTTCGTTGCACCTTCACAACTTCAGTGAATGCGTTTTTGGATGGTCGGAGGCTACTCCTGTTAAATGTCTTTCGATACCCAAAAAAGGGGTTGTCACCCACAGGTTGAGAACCGCTGTTATACTTTCATGCATTCTAAGGAGGTATTACTCAACCGTTAGCACCCGCCGGCCATAAAAACAGGGGGCATGGTTTCGACGTGCGCGTGACAGCAAAACAAATAAAAATGAATGCAGAAAGCAGTTTATGTGTTAAATCAAATGTTACAGAGCTACAGTTTTCATCTAGACCATTCTGATGGTAATTCTACACACTACAACCTTGAGAAAACAAAACTATTGACTTTACCCTGATCCATGATTATGTTGACATATTTTGTGGCCCACCAAGATGTTGTTGTTGTCACCCACCAGAAGGTTATTCTAGGCTATGTGCTGTTTCCTCGCAATTAGCATCTTTTCATTAAGGTCGTTATTATGACCTATTTGTTTAATTTGTATTTAGCACCAAACCCCCAATGGAGCCTAGGCGCTCACCAACTCACGTCAAGTCGTCATATCCTTCACTATTGCATGGCTTTTCATCCATGTCGTCTCATCTTTAAACTTCGCTACACTGTTCCCCCTTTGTTTGTATTTTGATCTTTGTTCATTCTAATCCCTCTCTGCGACGCTTTACGGCATAAGCAGTACGACAAAAATAGAAGACCGAAAGAGATTAACCTCGTCAATCAATTTGTGGTCATCTCCTTCTGTACAAGGGTCAGCTTCTCTCGCTGCTCTAAGGTTGGAGGATACAGAGGTGCTGAACCAGACGTGTTGGTACTGGTCATAATCGACCCACATCTCCACGGTCGTCTTAGAAGAAGATTCCCATCCAGGAGGCATGCCATCCTTGCCAGGATCGATGTTAACGTCGGAGTGCATATGCTTGAGAGGCAAAGAACCAAGAGTCTGCACACACGTAAACCAGATCAGCAGGACATATGTACATGCAACCCCCAAGTCATTGAATAAGTCAAGCTTGAAGCGAACAAACGGCGATGCACGCGAAGAACACTTAGCACTTTGTTTCATTTTCCTATCATCTCATTACGATAGTGTGATTTTCGAGCATCTCATTCTGATCTCATGCTGGCATCTAAAACAGTCCCAATATTTGCAAATGTCGGGTAGTTTTCCCTTCACTATTTTCTTGTGTTCTTCACACCGACATTTGCAACCGTCTTTGATTTCATGTTTTTACTGCTGTCTACCTGTGCGCTCACCTCACCTGGTCCGCGGATGTTTTGTGCAGGCAGAAAGCATCAAGACAGTTTAAACACATGTTTATGACATCGTGACAATCGATTGTCTTGTGTACGAGATTAAATCGCAAGTCATAACAGATTTATAGTTTCATTTAGTAGGCCTGACACTGGTAACTCTTTATGGAGAATTATATGTTCAACTCTTTGTGGGTAGTTATATGATCGGTGACACTGTATCTATGATGTTAGCATTAACTGGGGAGATTAACTGGGGTTTGGGGAGATGGATCTGTTATGCTCAGTTACTTCTGTTAATTAAGTTGTGGTGGCGTGGGCTTTAGTCATGGTAATGGAAATCATGGACACAACGAGGATGTGATTGTGATGCACAGATACATCTGTTTCACAAGACGACAACTATCAACACGTCTGTTTCACGTGACACCAAGTATAATTTCATCTATTCCACATTATGGGAACTATCAAAACATCTTTTTCTTCAGAATATGGCAACCAACAACATACCTATTTCACAAAAAGGCACCTAACTATCAACAGTTTTACAAGAAAGCAAACACTAACACATCTATTTCACAAAAAAGGCAACTGTCAGTATATCTCTTTTCTTTCTTTAGAAAAAGGCAGTTATTACCACCACTGTTTCACAAGTTTCATGAAGTTTTCGCAGTTATACAGATATTGTTGTAGATACGGATCACATCTGCAAATGAAGTCAAAGCTTACATGATAATGGCGACGACAAAGAAGATATTGTGTCATTATTTTGGCTACCTTGGTCGGTGTTCTACTTGCTTTCGGTTTCCTGTTACTTTGTAGAAAACAGGTCAAATAATAAACATAAAAAATGTGATAAGAGTAAAATTGTTTAGATGGAGTTATGTTGGATATTGATACCACCTGGACTAAGTTTCCTGTTATTTTGTAGCTTCTGTTCTGGTGGATTCCACTGGCGGTGTTGAGCTCTTGTTCATTTCTTCTTTCATTAGCTGTCTTTTTTACTGAATTGTTTTCATAACTTCGTCGACTTCAATTTTGAAATCTTCTACTGGGACAACTTCTACTGCCATATTCTTGTGGGATCTGTTTGTGCTCGGAGTTCCGGTTCCGGTTTCAAGATGGAGGGATGTTTTCCTTCAAGCTTGTCTCCAGTCCGTTGATCGGTAGCCTAACAAGCCGCCATCGTAAAACATCCACTGTTACAGAAACAGATTTCTGGCTTTAAACGTCATGTCGTTTCGTTCTAATTTGTTGAATGCCACCGATGTTCAGTCGCACTCAAGACCTACATCAAGTGGCAAAGAACCGACAGACGTGGAAAGCTATGACCTCTGCCCTATGCGCCATCTTTGGCACAAGAGGAATAACTAACTAACTAACTAACTAACTTTTACTCGCTCTCAATAAGCGATAATAATATCAATCTAGCCATTTACTAACTTTCAACTTATTGGTGCAGAACTAGCCTGTCTATATGTCTGTTCCTTTTCTAACACAGATGCAGAACTAGCCTGTCTATATGTCTGTTCCTTTTCTAACACAGATGCAGAACTAGCCTGTCTATATGTCTGTTCCTTTTCTAACACAGATGCAGTACTAGCCTGTCTATATGTCTGTTCCTTTTCTAACACAGATGCAGAACTAGCCTGTCTATATGTCTGTTCCTTTTCTAACACAGATGCAGAACTAGCCTGTCTATATGCCTGTTCCTTTTCTAACACAGATGCAGAACTAGCGTGTCTATATGTCTGTTCCTTTTCTAACACAGATGCAGAACTAGCCTGTCTATATGTCTGTTCCTTTTCTAACACAGATACAGAACTAGCGTGTCTATATGTCTGTTCCTTTTCTAACACAGATGCAGAACTAGCCTGTCTATATGTCTGTTCCTTTTCTAACACAGATGCAGAACTAGCCTGTCTATATGTCTGTTCCTTTTCTAACACAGATGCAGAACTAGCCTGTCTATATGTCTGTTCCTTTTCTAACACAGATGCAGAACTAGCCTGTCTATATGTCTGTTCCTTTTCTAACACAGATGCAGAACTGGCCTGTCTATATGTCTGTTCCTTTTCTAACACAGATGCAGAACTAGCGTGTCTATATGTCTGTTCCTTTTCTTAACACAGATGCAGAACTAGCCTGTCTATATGTCTGTTCCTTTTCTAACACAGATGCAGAACTAGCGTGTCTATATGTCTGTTCCTTTTCTAACACAGATGCAGAACTAGCCTGTCTATATGTCTGTTCCTTTTCTAACACAGATGCAGAACTAGCCTGTCTATATGTCTGTTCCTTTTCTAACACAGATGCAGAACTAGCCTGTCTATATGTCTGTTCCTTTTCTAACACAGATGCAGAACTAGCCTGTCTATATGTCTGTTCCTTTTCTAACACAGATGCAGAACTAGCCTGTCTATATGTCTTTTCCTTTTCTAACACAGATGCAGAACTAGCCTGTCTATATGTCTGTTTCCTTTTTCTAACACAGATGCAGAACTAGCCTGTCTATATGTCTGTTTCCTTTTCTAACACAGATGCAGAACTAGCCTGTCTATATGTCTGTTCCTTTTCTAACACAGATGCAGAACTAGCCTGTCTATATGTCTGTTCCTTTTCTAACACAGATGCAGAACTAGCGCTGTCTATATGTCTGTTCCTTTTCTAACACAGATGCAGAACTAGCCTGTCTATATGTCTGTTCCTTTTCTAACACAGATGCAGAACTAGCCTGTCTATATGTCTGTTCCTTTTCTAACACAGATGCAGAACTAGCCTGTCTATATGTCTGTTCCTTTTCTAACACAGATGCAGAACTAGCCTGTCTATATGTCTGTTCCTTTTTTCTAACACAGATGCAGAACTAGCCTGTCTATATGTCTGTTCCTTTTCTAACACAGATGCAGAACTAGCCTGTCTATATGTCTGTTCCTTTTCTAACACAGATGCAGAACTAGCCTGTCTATATGTCTGTTCCTTTTCTAACACAGATGCAGAACTAGCGTGTCTATATGTCTGTTCCTTTTCTAACACAGATGCAGAACTAGCCTGTCTATATGTCTGTTCCTTTTCTAACACAGATGCAGAACTAGCCTGTCTATATGTCTGTTCCTTTTCTAACACAGATGCAGAAACTGAAGAAACATTAAAAAAAAAGCGCTAACTATCAACAACTTCTGGAGCAGCTCTTGCCCCTCGTTCTGTTGAAAGGTTCAGTGCCATCTAACATTGAACTATGCGGTGCGAACAGAACTAGCAGTAATTTAAACAATAGTGTCCTATTCAACCAATCTGCGTTTTACTTGTTAAGTAAATGTCCCTTCTCCACGCCTATTGGGAATATAGGGAAGTAAATGTCCCTTCTCCACGCCTATTGGGAATATAGGGAAGTAAATGTCCCTTCTCCACGCCTATTGGGAATATAGGGAAGTAAATGTCCCTTCTCCACGCCTATTGGGAATATAGGGAAGTAAATGTCCCTTCTCCACGCCTATTGGGAATATAGGGCTAGACCTATATTTTTTTTAATAAACAATCTGCACTTGATGGGTGATGTGGTCAGCATTACGCCTACCGCCTTTACTTCCCAGGACTGCACCTGGTACCCCCTCAAGGCTGGGTTGACCTGGGAGTCAATGTCATTTGTTAAAAAAATCCGGCTCTGTCCGGACGCGAACCCACGACCCTAGCCGCCAACGCCACGGCGACTCCCCTGCGTTATAATTGCGATATATATATATATATATATATATATATATATATATATATATATATATATATATATATATATATATATATACTCTTTCGATAATGGATATTTATGCCAGTTCATTATGTTTGGTTATTTAAAATGCATAGGTTATATATCTATTGAATACGATTGTAGGAGTGCAGATTGTCAAGTCCAATATATTGAAAGTGCACTTTCAAAAAGTTGTTTCTTGAAAAATGGTTGTTCATAATTTTATCTATTTTGATTTCTCCAGATGAAGGCGAAGAAGAAACACCAGACAAAACTAAAGTTCGATCTCCTGAAATGCAAGATGAGAATTCGACTCAGAAAAATTCAGGAGCCTGCTTTCTTGAGAAACCATCAATGTCAACGGAAGAAGCTCGGCGTAAAACCCCTTGTCCATCAGACACGACAAGATGCAACGCATCCAACACTAACATCGTATCCCAGGTTAAGCTGGATCTTCAGGACACTGACTGTGCAGACAGTAAAGATGATAAGCAAAGCATTGACGATGACGAAATGAAAGAAAGATCAGGAAGTCCATCAAATGGCAAAATGATGTCTTCAAAGCTGGATTATTTAAATAATGGCGAAGTGTCATGCAGCGACAGTTTTGATGAAAAGGTCGCAGAGGATGTCAGTTCAGACAGTGGTGGTAATCTCAAAATAAAGGCGCGCGCATACATTAAAAGAGAGTGTTCACTGAGTCCAAATATTGAAGGCAGGGACGATTCTGATGGTAGCGGAGCCAATACTCTGCAACCAACGTCAGTCGTGAACAAATTGCCAAATAAATCCAAACACGGAAACCGGTCGCTGTCAAGATCAAGTTCCAAGTCGCTTGGTGTTGCCGGTTCTCCAGATATTTTGTCTGGGTGTAATCAAACAAGAGAAGAAGCAGAAAGAGCTCTTGTGAACCAACTGCAGCTGCCCAGTGATGTTTTGTATCTCAGACAACAAGACATGACCATTCATGGGACTCCCAGTGTTGGTTGGGTTGTCTGTTGTGCCATTCCGTTGCCACAAGGGTCTTCTTTAGGTCCATTTCAAGGCCAGATTGTCCCACCCGAAACAGTAAAAGTCGGGGATCTCATTGTCCAGGTAAATATCGATATTGTAATTTATATTCATAAGTCGATCGCTCTTCGTTAAGTCTAGCATAGTACACAGACATTTAATGTCTTTCATGACTTTTTTTCTTTCTCTTTTTTTTTTCTATGAGCTGCTCCAGTCTATACCTCTTTTTTTTTTCTATGAGCTGCTCCAGTCTATACTCACAGTCCATACGTAAGATTCTAGCTAGCGGGTCATATTCATTTAGCAGATCCTTTGCAAAAGATTTTATGCTGTTTATGAGTCCTCCCGCTTCTCCCTTGATATTTGGACTTGTGTCTGGAAGATCTCATTGTCCCTGTTTGAAGTTTGAACAACGGATCAACATCATAGCCCACAAGTGCTCCGTTATACTTCTAACTCAAGTCTCCACAATTTTGCCCGGGCAGCGCCGTTAGGTTACTCTTTACTATGCCTCGAGACCACGCAGTCCCCCTTCATTGTTCTTGTAAATATTAATCCTATTGTAAATTCAATAGTTGCTGCTTCAGAATACCCTTCATAACCATCTGCCAAGCACACGCAGACCCAAATCCACAAAATCTGTGTACATCAACATTCACTCAATCCTCTCAGGTACATTTACATTCATCTGGTACAGATAGTAATATCAACATTCCCCTCGGCTCGACAGCTATATCTGTATTTATCTAAGTGGCACGTATATTTAACGTGGGCAGAACCGACACCTTGTCAACTGCATCAGTTTGAGTTTGACAACAGTAGATGTCTTCGAGTTTTGAGAAGTGAGAATATTTGGGATTTGAATATCGAAGATCATCGTCTTTGTTTAGTGATAAATTTTTAAGTGGTCTGATCGCTTCCTTTAAATCGCACCACAGGTATCCCAATAAAGAATGTAGGCGCCCTCAGACTGACGTCTGTATACAAGAATCATAGATTAGAGAAATATTGTCTCTAGTCGGTCATGTCAGAGAAGGTTATTCAGTCCTACAACTGAAAGGAAGTATTTCATTTTGTCAGTTTTTCTTCTTTTTCGCCTTCTTCTTCGTCTCCACCATTTCCTTCTTCTTCTTCTTCTTCTTCTTCTTCTTCTTCTTCTTCTTCTTCTTCTTCTTCTTCTTCTTCTTCTTCTTCTTCTTCTTCTTCTTCTTCTTCTTCTTCTTTTTCTGTTGCATCGTTGTTTTCTGTCAACCACTGTTAGGCGCCTCTTCCGTCATGTGTCACAAGCAGGAAGCACGCTTCCCAAATGGTTTTGTGAGCATTTTGTCGCATCTGATTAGGTTAAAATATAAAGTTGCCCTGCCTCACACAGTGAACGGTTCAGGGGCGCAGCCATGTAGAAAATTTAGAGAGCAGGGTGCGCTACTAATTTTTTAGGTAGTGTTTTGATATTCTTAAGTCCTGTTTGATTGTGCATTGTTGATGTTGCTGTTATCACCATCATCATCCTCCTTATCATTATTATTTTTATATTAGATAATATAAAAAATGTGTAAACAAAGACTGTACCTCGCAACGGTCTTTTTTAAATAAAATGGGGGGGGGGGGGGGGGATTAATAGCCCATTTCTCACCTCTAACAAAAAATGTCAAGGTGTCTGAGACTTGAGGTACCGGCACTGAAGCTTGCAGCTTTTTGAGGTCTATATGTAGTAGATATGTTCTCATAAATGGTATGTTTTATGGATGTGAGTTCAAATTCTGTACATTTCAGATCCAGATGAGAAACTTAGGCAGCTGCCTTTTGATAATAAAAATAGACAGGATCTTCGAAAAAAAAAATACATATTGCCTAAAACTGGCTGGTGAAATAGATTACATTGACTGATTATACACAGGAGACGGAAAGAGACGTTTAGAGATCTAGATCAACTTTTATTAACTAATAAAGATACAATTCTAGACTGCGGGTTGCCTTCCCTAACACCCCCACTTGCATAAATCATCTTCTTCTGCGTTCCACATCAGTCATGCTAAACACTGAGTCCCGTGGTCACAAATAGGATGGTGCCTATAAGGTCGCCACCGGTCACCCGTAGCTTCTCTTGCAATGTGGCTCCCTTGCGCCAGATCCACATTCTTTGCTGGGAGAAGTTAGGGCGGTACTGCAGTATGTGCCCAGGGGTCTGTCTTTCTGCTCCACAATCACATGCAGCAGATTTTTTTATGCATACCCTGTACAGGTGTGCTCGAAGACCACAGTGTCCTGTCCGAAGTCTAAAAATGTATGTTGTTCTTTTATGTTGAGTTTGTTTATACTGTCACTTTCTGGTCTGTAGTCTCCATTCTGCCTTCTCCACTCCTGCTTGAAAGACTGCTTTAGCGCTGTTTTGGTTTCCTTGTAGCTGTGTGGTGGATGAGGTTGTGGAAGATTACTTCCAGCTTTTGCCAGCTCTCTCATTTCCTCAAATACCACAGTGGGCTGGTATCCACTGCAAGACCTGTTCTGCTTCCTTGGACCAGTTCTGCTTCCTTGGAATAAACGAATTCCCACTTGGTGGTGTAGCCTTCCGGACTTTCACACTTACCTGGCAGTTTGACGTCATGCAAATAGTTAATTGCTTTTATTACGTACACAAATATAGTTAATGATCATCATCATAAACCACTTCTGCCGTTAAGCGTCGTGGGGAGGAATAATTTGCGATCCAGTGCACGTTGGCTGCCACTGGCTATTGTCATGCCGTGAAGGCGTAGAGTGTCTTTAACGTTGTCGATCCATATTTCCGCCGCCGTCCTCTTGCTCTTGTAGCTGATCTTCTTAGATGTAGTGCTTGTGATAGTATTTGATCTTGCTACATTCTAACGAGATGGCCAAACCACTCGATCTGCTGTTTCTCTGTGAATCTAGTACAAGGTGTCGTTGCCACAATTTGCCTGATAGTTTTATTATTCACTCGATCTCGTATGGTTAGGTTGGCTGTTTTTCTCAGGCACCTCATCTCGCAGGTGGTTAATATAGTTAATAAATCAAGCAAATAAGTGCTGTGATTGTTAACTGATGATGTTCATAGTGAGTTGAAAATCATTAGGTTAATATGATCAGAAACTGACCAACGAGTAAGATAATCGTTGATGATATGATGATAACACCCATCGATACACATGTCTGGATGGGGAAAAAAAAAAAAAACAACAACCTGAAGACAGTACCCCATAGGATACTCCATTCCGGGTCCAGTTTGAATGGGGTCGCCAAAACTGTAGGTCCACTCCTTACGGTCTGTCAATCAGCCCGTGTTCCTGTGAGAAATAGAATTGCCTAGAGAGTTATTTCTCTTGACGCCTATAGCGTCTTTATGAAGGCTTCCCTAGAATAGAAAGTAATAATGGTGATACTAATGAAGGTCTCCCCAAACAAAGAAGGTCAAGTTTTATTGATAAGTTCGTTGGGCTTGTCTACCTTTCTGCATGTTACGGATGTGGCGCTCTGTTGTTTGCGTTCTGGGTTGTGACATAGGTTGCCGCACTCTCTAGGAAGGTTGTGTTAGACCCAGTTTGTCCATGTAATTGGAGTGTTAGAAGCGCTAGCGTGCTGAAATATACAACACGCGATATCAACGGGGTTGCGAAAAAAAAACCCGGAACCTTGTGCTTAGGTAACGTGACTTAAGGTCGACCAATCAGAAGTAAACTAGTGTGTAGCAGTGTATAAATGGGAAAACTAACGTTAATTTTACCAATTATAATACATAATGTTCCTTAAAATTTCGACCGCGTTATTCTTTCAACTCCTCCCTCTGATTCATATGGCGATGTGTGTCATGTTTCATCCCAGTCTTCAACAGACAGAAATTCTTTACACCTGTTGTTTCAATTTCTAAGCTTGTGATTAAGAACTGTGGTAATACTACTACATCACTGGGGCTACTACATGGCGTCCTGGTGTAGCCAGATCTGGTGTAACACTTATGTGCGACAGACAGTTTGCAGGGACTTCTAAGCTGCCGGTCGGTCTAAACGTCTCTGACTGTGCCATTTACTTTCGCCCAGTCGCAGTTAGAAACCTCTTCGCAAGTTCATACGACTTCATCTGAGTGTGCTTTAGCTTCAAACATAGATGCTTTTCCATATTCAGTGGTGCTAAATTCCATTGACGTGAAGACAGTATAGAGGTGGTGCTGGGATCTTGAGATGAAGACAGTTTAGAGGTGGTGCTGGGATCGTGAGATGAAGACAGTTTAGAGGTGGTGCTGGGATCGTGAGATGAAGATAGTTTAGAGGTGGTGCTGGGATCGTGAGATGAAGACAGTTTAGAGATGGTAAAGGGGTCGTGAGATGAAGACAGTTTAGAGGTGGTGCTGGGGTCGTGAGATGAAGACAGTTTAGAGGTGGTGCTGGGATCGTGAGATGAAGACAGTTTAGAGATGGTAAAGGGGTCGTGAGATGAAGACAGTTTAGAGGTGGTACTGGGGTCTTGAGATGAAGACAGTTTAGAGGTGGTGAGGGGGTCGTGAGATGAAGATAGTTTAGAGGTGGTGAAGGGGTCGTGAGATGAAGACAGTTTAGAGGTGGTGAGGGGGTCGTGAGATGGAGACAGTTTAGAGGTGGTGCTGGGGTCGTGAGATGCAGTTTACTTTTTTTAGGTTGCCAATTTTTTCCTTGTTATTGCATAAAATTAGCAGCCACAATTCTGAAATCTTTAAATGCGCTTGGCGACAAATATCAGCTGCAGTGAACTCTGATCTTACGCTAAAAGACTCTGAATCATTGCCGGACCACATAAATTAGGTGTAATTTTGCCAACACTTGTCTGAAAAATTGCAAGAGAGACCACACTGCTTGAATCTTCGACTACAGAGACGCGGAGACAAAGAAAACATTGGAAGAACTCAGACCTCTTAACGGATTTGGGGGGGGGGGGGGGGGTGGGGGGGGGGAGTGGTGGCGCTCAGTAGCCAAAGCCCCCAGGTTTTTTGTTTCTCTACATGGTGCGATAAGGCTGGGAGTTTGGTGGCGCTCAGAAGCCGAAGCCCCCAAGTTTCCTGTTTCTCTACATGGTGCGATAAGGCTGGGGGTTTGGTG